AAAAAAAAAAAAAAAAAAAACATGAAATAAAAATGAGAGACTATGGCTGTCAGGGGTCCCGCCATGGGGGGCAGGGTCTGCTAAGACCTGTGGAACGCGTGGCAAATGACTGAAGAAACAGTTAGAAATGACGCGAAAGAGACAACATAAACACGTTTTTGATCAGGGCGGCGCCTGTGGCTCAGTGAGTACAGTGCTGGCCCCATATACTGAAAGTGGCGGATTCGAACCTGGCCCCAGCCAAACTGCAAAAGCAGTAAATATTACTAAAATTATTAAGTCTCAACTTTTAAGTACATGTCTTTTTAATATTCTGTGTTGCTAACTCAAACTATGCATAAGCTTTTCTGCTGCATACTGAAGTATAAAGTGGTCTCAAGGAAAAAAAAAGAGAACAGACACAGAATAGAATTTTAAAAAGTGGGAACTCAGGGGACCACTGCCTGTTTGTGGGGTTCCAGCGATGGCCCTGAATGTCAGTTCCACTCAGCTTTTACTGAAGTCTATTTGCCCAGAGGGTAAGCTGAGGGAGGGAACAGAAATACCGGCAGTTTCTTAAAGCACAACAGCTCCTATTGTTTTATTTTGTTTTAGAGACAGAGTCTCACTTTGTCACCCTCAGTAGAGTGCTGTTTCATTACACGTCATGGCGACGTCCAGGCTTAGGCGATTCTCTTGCCTCAGCCTCCAGAATAGATGGAACCATAGGCGCCTGCCACAACGCCCAGCTATTTTTTTTGCAGTTTGGCCAGGCTTGAACCCGTCACCCTGGGTATATGGGGCCTGTGCCCTACTCACTGAGCCACAGGTGCCACCCTCCTATTGTTTTTATAATCATTAACTTTAAGGGTCTGAGCAGCCTTGAGAAATCTAAAACCTGAGCTTTGTGTGGGGGTAGCCTCCAGCCTGAACTCACACACAGATTCCTAGGGAGTGGTTAAACTCTGGTAGTTCCCTGTGGAGTAAAACCCCACTGGAATCAATCTCCTCTGAAGAATTGGTGGGAGAAAGGAATTTTCCTCTCATCATTACCACAGAGGGTCTTCATCTGTGATAAGGGATATAAGCTCTCCTGTCCATATTTCAGAGCTACGAGCAGTTCCCTTGACCTCTGCCCCAGGCAAATGGAAATCTCCACGAGGGGTATCTGCTCTGTCTACTTACTGGGGAGGAAACAGCCTAGTTAATATATCTTTCCAGGCCTTGCCATAGCCTCTCCTATGGCCATTATTCCTCACAGTTTTCACAGACCCAGCAGTGGTGTTTATAAAGCTTTATCCCCAATAGGCCAGAGTTCTAGTAAAAGCAGGAAACCTGCTCAGATAAGAAATTTAGCCGCGGCTGGTTTAAGGGCAAACTAGACAACTCTTTGTTCCAGCTCAGTCAGCTTACTTTTTAATTTTTCCATTTTTCTGCAGGTGTTTTCTCTTGCCAAGAATGGGGTCTTTGTCCCCATTCTGACTGCATATGGCTACTTGGGAGGTGGGAGGGTTCCTTGAGCCCAGAGTTCAAGACCAGCCTGGGCAACATAGCAATAACCCATCTCCAAAAACAAAAAATACCAAGACTATTCTCAACAGACTGGGGTCAGAGATAAGACTGAGACAATCTCCTACAAAATACTACAAAAAGGCAAAGATGTAGAAAATAGACACAACTCAGCTGAACACCTAGCAGACAGCACCACATGTATGAGGTGATGTGCAATGGGTTAACGCCCACCTCCTCCACTAAACTTTAAGCTCCAAGAGTATGGCTTGTGCAACAGTTTGCTTACCACTGTTAGCCATACCACTCACCTGGCTCACAGCGGCCACTCAATAAATATTTGTAGAATTAACAAATGAAGCAGAATATCTGTCACCTTAAATTACTGTTATTTTAACTTTGCTGTTTTACAATTATATAAGAACGTTTCTATTTGCATACAGGTAAATGACATTATAATAAAGATAATTTAAGACAAAACTGGAGATACATAAAACTTTCTTCCTTAAAAAATTATTCAAGTTTGCAAAATATTGTTCTATGATCTGAGGCCTAAAAAGGAAAAAGAGATTTACAAAACTATTTCAAAAGCAGCATGAGAAGGGCACAAAATACCTGGTCAAATGAGCAGAAGGGACTTACATTTACCAACCTTTCCAACAATATGAAAAACTGAAGATGACACTGAAACTGGTTGTACTCACTATTTTCAATTCAGCCACTTCTGACTGGAGTCTGGGAGCTGCCCAGATCAATGTAGACACAGATTCAGCCAGGCCAGAATCTAGCTCCCTAATTAAGGAAAAAGTTAATATAATTTAATACTCTTTAAAACTAATCAACAAAATCCTAGTTTTATATCATATACTTGATAGCCTCTAAAGCTATTTCGCCAATCTCACTGAGTTCTCACAACAACTCTAGGCTTCTAGCCATTTTCATTAACTTATTTTACTTTTGGGGAAGTTCACACTACGCCCAAGGCCATAAAGTCAGGAAATGGCTGAATCAGACTCAAACTCAATTTCATATTCTGTATTTTCTCTTCAACAGTTGTCTACATTCAGATCAGACCTTTAAGCCAATTCATAGCATAAAGATCTTTGGGTGTGTGATACATAGTCTCTCAGTGTTCGCCCCCTACATGAAGAGATCTATATTACTCCTTTAATTCCAGAAGTGATTTAGGTCTTTGAATCAAAATCTCTTACTTCATAGACTGGATGAGGCCAAACCGAGCCAGCAGCAGGTCACAGTACAGCTCCAGGATCTCCATGGCCTCCACGAGATAGTCCTCCCGGATGATGTGCTCCACACGGATCCGAGCTCGTTCATCTTTCCCAGCGGCCAGATAGTCAGCAATCTCCTTCCTGGCTTTCTGGGCTAGTTCCGCTAAGACACAAATTCCACTCCAGTCACAGAGCAATAGGCCACCAGTACCTGGTCTGGGAGCAACCTCCATCCCAATAGAGAACTGGGAGTTTCTAGTATATCCTAGCTCACTCTCCCTTAGGAAATCTAGTTCTATCCCATCTACCCTACAATTTGCTACTCTGTCTCGTTCTGTGGCTCGACATTTCCAACTCAGGAGTAATGTTACCCATTCCACAGCAGCAGACTATGTCTGTTAGACAAAATGATTCAATCTGACTAGTCACAAAAGGCAGAAATGGAAATCTTCAAAGATATGAAATTCGTCATTAGTACTGGCCTAGCACTGGGGTGCTGGCTCCCAGTGATGTATTTTGGGAAAGAGAAGGTAAAGCAATCATGTACTACTCACTTTTTTTTTTCTCCAGTAGTTTAAGACGATTTATGACTAATCTCAAATTGACTCGTAAGCGCTCAGCTTTAAATCCAGAGCCCAGCATGTTGCCCTATTCCTCCTGGAAAAAGAAGCAACATAGTGACTATTTTCAAGTAAAAACTATTTCAGAAACTAACACCACTTAAAGGTGAATCATCAGACACAAAGAACCACCAGTTCTCTAAGACAAGAAAATAACATGAACTAATTCACATTTTTTACAAATCATTTTGGTTATTGTGGAGAAAACTGATAAGGGAAAAGTAATACTAGAAGGAAGAAGACCAATGGGAAGGCTAATACTACAGCTTAGACCATGGTGATTTAGCAGTGACAGTAGCAACTGGCTTTGAAATCTATTTTGAGGGCATAGCTGAAAGAACCTGCTGACTGATGAAATGAGCACCTCGGTATTGGCACCAGAATGAGATGTTAAAGGACAAAGCAGCAGCAGAAGTCCTCCTATGCTCCTACTTCTCAAAAAAATCTCAACCCAGAAAGACTGAGATGGGAAAAAGATTAGCAAATTTATACCCAAAACCAAAAAAATGTTATCTTCTTAATTCTTCAAATTCGGCTACTAAATCTCAGCCTTTGGGAAAAAGCTAGTGCCCAACATCACTATCATTACCATGCACTCATGTAGAGAATTATACAAAGGAGTAAAAAGCCCACGGGGTGGGGGGGGTGGGGGTGGGGAGAAAACTGCAGTACAACTATAGTACAAATACTGTACAGTCCCCGTCCTCAAGGGAACTTATATTCTACTGAAAAGAGGGCTTAGAAAATCTGGCAATGATAACATTATTGGATAGAGACTTTAATTTCAAATTCTAATTCTGAATCAGGAGTGATTTTGCTCCCTCGAAACATTTGGTAATGATTGGAGATGTTTTGGGTTGTTGCAACTGGAAAGGATGATACTGCCAACTGATGGGCAGAGGCCTAGGATGCTATTACACATCCTACAATGAACAGGACAGTGCACCTATAACAAAAAAACTACCCAGTCCAAAATGTTAATAGTGCCAAGACTGAGAAAACTATTTTACAGAAAACACACCAATCCTGTTTAGAGAGATTACGAAAGGCTTTCCAGGAGGAGGAAAGCCTAAACTGAGTCTTAAGGACAGACAAGGTGTCTATAAAGAGCTGGGTATAAATATCCCAGGCAGAGAGAGTGGTGTGTGCAAAAACAAGGTGCTTCTTGGGAGACACAAATTGGTACAGTCTGGCATAGTTTATACCCTAACACACCTCTCATAACCATAACTTTAAGACTTCAATGTTCATAAGATGTCAAGCACTATAGTAGGTTCTGGTGCTAGTTAGATCCAGATGGTATCCTTGTTCTTAAGGCATTCCATAACCAGAAGTAGATGAGAAATGGGAAGGAGACCAGAAAAACAGTAAATACTACTATTGTTTACTCAACCAGCACTTGGCCAAGATCAGTTAGCAACTAAATGGTAGAGTTAAGAATGAAACCTAGGCTCGGCGCCTATGGCTCAACC